CTGCCACCTGCCATAATGTCTTTGTAGCACCTTAGAATGAGGGTTCAGCGGGGAGGGACGGGGCGCCCCTCACTCTGGACCTGGCAAACACTCAGCTGGCTAAAGGAGTGAGTCGGGGTTCGGTCCCTTGTCCTAGGCACACAGACTGATGGAGAGTTTCTAACCCAGCTCATCAGATCCCAGACCTCCTCTTGAGACTCAGACTTCCCACCCATCCCTGTGTCCTGTGTGTATGAAGTCCTACTGTGCGATGGTACCAGATACACACAGGGTTGGGTCCTCATCTCTTTGAGAGCTCTGAGCCTAGCAGGGGAGACAGACAAATAGACAACTGCCACACAGCACAGCAGGTTGCACGGCAGCCTACGGGCTGGGGAGAGCGGGGGACACACACATCTAATGCAGCCTGGGGACGGGTATCCGAGAAGATGTCTCAAGGGAACTGACACCTGAGCAAAAGATGCCCAACACGATGGATGTTCCCGGAACAAAAATAGCAACAACCCGATAGAAGAGAGTCTGGCCCATCCTGAGACCTACAGTGGTGAGTGGGGCTGAAAAGCGATGGGGAGAGGGAGAGGGCAGAGGGCCAGGAAGCAGCGGGGCACCGAGGAGCCTGCGGCTGTGATCATCACTACTCTGTGCACGGCATAGACTGCGCTTTATCCTGCGACCAGCGTGGGGCCAAGAAAGGGCTTTAGGCAGAAAGGTAAGGCGGTGGACTTCAGAAAGATCACCTGCTACTACAGTGGAAGGAAACGAGACTGGAGACCAGAAGAGTTAGAAGGGAATTACAGCAACTCAGAAAAGATGTGGCAAGACATAGGCTAAGGCAGGGTAGACGAGGTGGGAAAATGGAGACTTGAGCCTTATGTAAGAGGTAGAATCAGCAGGCTGGTTAAGAAGTGGGGTCAAAGGAGAAGGAGTCGAGGATGAGGACTGACCATCTGCCATGGGCAAATGGGCAGACGGTGGGACGTCCTGGGAGGTGAGAGGTGTCGGTGAGGGGATGGGCATCCAACAGGAGTTGAACATATGGGTCTGGATGGAGCTCAGGGAGTATCTGGGCAGGATGGAGAGCAGGGATTCCTTGGCATGTGGGAGAGCTGGCCTTGGGCAGAGGTGCGATCGCCCCCCGCCAGGCTGAGCTTCCCTCCATCCTGACCATGCAGGGCACCTACACCCAGCACCACGCTCTTAGTACCTGTCATACCCAGACGTCCTTCCTCTTTGCAGGCTGTGTTGCTCGCTTTCATTCGGGTGTGTTTTCTCTCCCACACCACCATACGCAGCACTGCCTTCCGTGTCATATTTTTTCTCCACTTCATATTCTGTCCATTCACTAGCACCGGGTCTGTTCAGTAGTGAGCTTGAACAGATGGTGGTAATAAATAACTACTAGGAATAGTGTCTGTTAGGTACAAAGCATAATATTAACATCTGAACCCTGCTACTTATCCCATTCTTTTTTAAATTTTATTTTTTTAAACATATTTCTATTGACTTCAGAGAGGAAGGGAGAGGGAGAGAGGATCATCCATCAGCTGCCTCCTGCACGCCCCACACTGGGAACTGAATCTGCAACATGGGCATGTGCCCCAAATGGGAACTGAACTATGACTTCCTGGTCCACAGGTTGATGCTCAACCCCTGAGCCACTGTACTCTTGAGGACCCAACAAGGTAGATAGGGATTAGGAACCACATTCTAAGAGGAGGAAACAGATAAGGTAATAATATGAGTAAACCTGCACAGCTGGCAAGTGGAGAAACGTGGCTTTGAACTCAGCTCATCCGACCCCACTGAGCAGGCCAGGCCCTTTGCCATGTGGCTGCCGGGACAGGAGCCAGGAGCCTCTCGGGGGAGCTCCGAGCAGACCCGATTCTTGGCTCAAAGCAGGAAAAAGGCGGACAACCAGAGCTGTTCACAATGGCACAGGCCCCTCCGGAAGCAGGGAGATGTGGGACGCATGACCGTTAAGGAGACTCCGATCTTGAGCATTGATGAGTGACCTCCCGGATGTCAGGGTGGGGATGCTATGCTTGATAGAAGTGCCCCCCAGCCACTTCAAAAACAGGAGTGGCCGAAACCGGTGTGGCTCAGTGGATAGAGCGTCGGTCTGCGGACTGAAGGGTCCCAGGTTCGATTCCGGTCAAGGGCATGTACATTGGTTGAGGGCACATCCCCAGTAGGGGGTGTGCAGGAGGCAGCTGGTTGATGTTTCTCTCTCATCAATGTTTCTAGCTCTCCATCCCTCTCTCTCCCTCTCTGTAAAAAAATGATAAGAAAAAAGAAAAAAAAAAAAAGGAGTGGCCTGGCCAGTTTGGCTCAGCAGTTAGAGCTCGTGGACTGAAGGGTCTAGGGTTTGATTCTCATCAAGGGGACATACCTCAGTTGTAGGTTCCTACTAGCTCCTGTCTGGGCATGTGCTGGAGGCAACCAATTGCTGTTATCTCTCTCACATCAATGTTTCTCTCGCCTCCTCCCCCTCCTCTCTCTAAAAAATCCATAGGGAAAAAATATCCTCGGGTGAGGATTAAAGAAAAAAGGCATGAAGCTAGCCAAGGGGGAAAGAATCACTTGAGAAAGCAGACTTCAGTGAAGTGCTTCTGAGAATCTAAGGCTTCCGCTTGGGAAGCAGAGGGAGGGGGTTCCTGGGAGGAAACAATATTAAAAGCAGCAAGAACCACTTCCCCGGGCTGGGACCAGCGGGTAAGCCGATGAGCTCTGAGGAAAATGGCACAAGGAGCAGAATCACCACTGCGTATAGGCTCCTTCCTTTCCTCTCCCTATCGGCGCACCCATCAGCAGCCTGGCACGGACCAGCCTCTGGGGGCGGGGGGAGGCAGGAAGGGGTGTGCAGAACAGAGCGGATGAAGTAACAGTCCCTTCCGGTGGGAGATTCACAGTACATCCTCAGAGACAAGATAAAAGGCCGAGCGTTGAAAAGGTTTGGACGCCGCAAGGTCAAGCACAGAAACCAGATAAGAACCGCGCGGCTGACCCAGCCCTCCCTCCACCCGGCAGGCAGGGAGGAGCAGGGCCGGTGCCCAAAGAGGAGCTGAGAAACCACAACGCCTGCCGGGAACTAGCGGGAGGACCAGAACTAGAACCCAGCAATAGGCAATCCCAGCCCTAGCTGGTTTGCTCAGTGGATAGAGTGTTGGCCTGCAGACTGGAGGGTCCCGGGTTCCAATCAATGATTCTCTCATCATTGATTTTCTTTTCTTTTCTTTTTTTATATATTTTATTTTATTTATGTTTTTACAGAGAGAAAGGAAGAGGGATAGAAAGTTAGAAATGTCAATGAGAGAGAATCATTGACCAGCTGTCTCCTGCACATCCCCCACTCGGGATGTGCCCGCAACCAATGTACATGCCCTTGACCGGAATCGAACCTGGGACCCCTCAGTCCGCAGACCAGCGCTCTATCACTGAGCCAAACCGGTTTCGGCTCATCATTGATTTTCTCTCTCTCTGTCCCTCTCCCTTCCTCATATATACATATATATATATATATATATATATATATATATATATATATATATATAAAATAAAAGGAGGGGACCATTCCTCTGTGATCTGTGCAGTTCACTCCCTGCCCGATCCCTGGGCCCTGGACTGAGCGCCATGCTGTAAGCAGTATCCGGACAGAAATGCTAAACTACACTCAGAAAAGAGAATTCAGAGTGAGAAGGGCAGGAATGGGTGAAGCGACAGGGGCTGTCAGCAAACATCTTCCCTGGCCAAAGAGCAGACCGTCTCCAGAAGAGAGCCCGGTGTGGCATGGGAGCGGCAGGAGGGCTGCGACGGCTGTCAGGGAAGGCTAACCTTTAGTCTCACCGCACAGGTATGCGCTCCGGCCACAGGACGAGCCGTACTCTCGCCAGGGCACCGGGCCAGGTCTGTCAGAGAGGACGCCAGGCTCTGGAGCTGGTGCAATCGAGTCTGGGCCCACCCTGACCTGAGGAACACCCAGCCCCTGGTACTAACATCCGGCCTTGCTCTGCGGGTTTTGTCCGGGTGGTTATGCTGCGTCACCCCTAATGCCATGGGCCGAGGGCAGTGCTGGGTGGCCACCGATCCAGGGCCGCAGAGCACCAGACCAAAGCCTGGGCCTGCCAGGGGCCTGCCAAGGCCAACAGGCGCACCCTCTGCCCTTTTTTAAAACCAGCACTTAGTGCTGCTGTGCGCCGGCCAGGGGCTGCTCTGGGGTGGAGGACAGGGAGCCGACAAGACACATGCTGGAGGCATAAACGCTACAGAGAGAATTAAAGGGGTGCCGGGCTGGGCCGGAGGGCTGCTCTGCAGGAGGGGGGGAGCGGGGGGAAATCACGGATGGGCTCGCTGAACAGGTGAGCTTTCATCTGAGCCGGATGATATCATGGCCTTGTCTTGTCCATCGGTCAGCAGCATCTGTTGTGGGTACACACACAGGCCATGAGTCCGGCTTGGCAGAGGCTCCCTCCCTTCCAGCCAGAGCCTCCGCCTCCCCCACGCCCCCAAGTTGTGGGGAGCCTGCAGGGGACGGAGCCGCTCCGAAGGGGTTGGGGGGGGGGGCGTAGCAGAGGAGCCGGAGGGGTCCGATCTGGGAGATGCGGTGACAGCAGCACCCCGTCATCGGGTCTTCGCGGGCATCCAGGGAGTGAACCCGCTTCAGGCACACCGCGTCTGGCACAGCGATCAGAAAGCGGCCACTCCCCGCTGGGGCTCCGGGCCTCCCCGGGCCTCAGTTTCCCTCGCCGTCCTCTCCGCCGCGGGATCGGGTGGTTGCGGCGCACAGGCTCCCGAGGCTCCCGCTCCAGCGGCTCCGAGAGAGGAAGCCGAGGCCGCGGCGCGTGGAGGCGGCTCCGGGACCCGCGCCCGGCCGGCCCCGCCCCGCCCGGTGGCCCCGCCCCGCCCGGTGGCCCCGCCCCGCCCGGAGCAGGCCCGGCTCGCGCTCCTTTAAGGCGGCCGCGGGCGCAGAGCGTGTTTCGCCCCCTCCGACGCCTGAGGTAGCGGCTGCACCTTTAAGGCGGCGCGGAGGCTGCCGGGAAGGGCGGCGGGATGGAGGCGGTGGGACCCGCTCGCGGCGGCCGGTCCGAGTGAAGCGGGGCGGGAGCCGGAGCCGGAGCGGCAGCGCCGAGCGCGAGGCGCAGGTCCGCGGGGTGGGAGGCCGGGCTCCGGGCGCCGGGCAGGGGCGCCGCGGGCCACCCTCGCGGAGGGGGCGCGGCCTGGGCCGGGGGCGGGCGCCGGGCCTTCTCGGGAGGGGCGGCCGCCGCGCGCCGGCCTATGGGAGGGTGGTCGTGGGCGGGGCCTGGGGTGACGGAGCCGGGGTCTCGGCTCCTCCGGGGAGGGGTCTCCCAGGGACGGAGGAGGGGCTCTGGCCGGCCTGCCCGGCGGGGATGGGGCTGCCCGGGGGCTGGGGCTGGCACTGCCCGAGGGCCCGGGGTCTCCCGCTTGGGAGTGGGACCCCACGGTCCCCGTAGGACCCTCCTCCGACGCGCGCTCCCTGGCTGAGCGACTCCCCGGAGGAAGCCCCGAGCCTGGCCGCCTGCGCCGGCCTGAGCCGGGGGTCCGGGCCGAATCTGGGTCCAGCCTCGCTGGTCTCGCCGCATTGCGTCTCCCGGGCCCAGGCGAGCCGAGCGCGCCCCCTGGAGGCCCAGCGCGGGCGCGGCGGGGCTGCCGGCCAGGGCGGCGGGCGCCCCGGGGACCCAGCGCCCGGGGACGGAGGTGTTTACCTAACCCGGGGCTTCGGGCGCTGCGGCCGGCTCCCGCCTGCCCGCCCCCTCGCCTCCGCAGGCGGCAAGGCCATGGCCACGATGGTGCTTCCGCGAGAGGAGAAGCTGAGCCAGGATGAGATCGTGCTGGGCACCAAGGCCGTCATCCAGGGGCTGGAGACCCTGCGCGGGGAGCATCGCGCCCTGCTCGCCCCCCTGGTCGCTCCTGAAGCCGGCGAGGCTGAGCCCGGCTCCCAGGAACGCTGTGTCCTCCTGCGCCGCTCCCTGGAAGCCATCGAGCTGGGACTGGGGGAGGCCCAGGTAGGCCTGTCTGGAGTGCTGAGGGGGGAGGTGGCGGAGGGCGGGTTGGAGGTTCCGGAGGGTTCTGGCTGCGTAGGAACAGAATCAGAGCAGGACACCATCTGTCCCCTGGAGCTCCATGCAAGGACCCCAGTAAATACCCGCTGAGTAAATGAATGGGCTTTGGAGACTCCCGCGGGGTCTTCCCCAGGAGAAGCCTGACAGCCATCCATCAGCCCCCACGGAGAACCCTGATCCTAGTTTCTCTGCTACCCGTGTTTCCCCGAAAATAAGACATCCTCCGAAAATAAGACCCAGCGCATGGAAAGATAAGACATCCCCTGAAAATAAGACCTAGCACAACTTTGGGAGAAAAAAATAATATAAGACACTCTTATTTTCAGGGAAACAGGGTAGGTAGCAAAGACTGAATGACATAGGAAAACAAAAAGGAAATCCTTACTCACCCACCCATTCATTCTCTTATTCACTCGTTAACAGGTAAGTTTTCAAATACCTACTGTGTGCAAGGCAATATGTTAGGTGCCAGGGATACAGACTAGATTCCTGGAAGATAAGAACATACATTTGTTACAAATCCTCCAAAGGAAAGAACAAAATCTTGTAATAGCTTTAAATGGGAAGTCTTATCTATTAGTCAGTTAAGACTTCTGAGGAATGACATTTAAACCAAGACCTGGACCAGTCTCCAGAAAAGGGAGGAGGGGGAGTGCATGTGCAAAGGTCCTGAGGCAGGAAAAACCTTGCAATGGGAGACTTGGGAAAAGACCTGTGTGACGGAGCTTCCTGGGGAAGGAGAGAGGGACAGACCAGGCCTGTGGGGACGGCAGGGCCAGGGCAGGCTGTGCCTCGATCCTTTGGGTTTCAGTCTCCGGAAATTGGGAAGCCTTTGGAGGGCTTTAAGCAGTCAAGGGGCCCAGCATGGCTTAGGTGTTAAAGTCTTTCGGGAAAAGGTATGGAGAGTGAACTATAGCAGGTCAAGGATGGAGGAGGCAGGTAGGAAACCACTGCTGGGATTCAAATGAGAAACGGTGGCTTGGACCAAAGGGGTGGCTGTGAGGGTGGAGACAAGGGGCCAGTTGTAGATGCTCGGGAGGCCGGTCCAGGAGGACTGGGGAACGGTGTGAGGGAGGGAGAGGGGAACGGAACTCCCTGGTTCCTGGTGGAGCGAGTGAAGGGATGAGAGCCGCACGATTATAGTTGTGTTTGGCCCTCTTGACTTGGGCCACCGGACAGCGTGCAGCTGGAGGAGGAGGTGGGCTCTGGGGAAAGTCTCGGCCCCTCGAGTCTTGGCGGAGGCACTGCTGGCTCTGTGACTCCTGAGCAGGTGGTGCCCTCGGTTTCCTTGTCTTTAAAATAGGGATCATGCCATCTGCTACATACACCCCAGGCTGTCTAGGGGAGTTTTTAAAAAGCTAGCGGTTGTGAAAGCAGTTGTCATTTAGGCATTTGCTAATCAAGTAGAAAGGGCAGAGTCTGAGACTGCGTGGCCCTCTGGAAGGGCAATAGTTGGCTGCCAGGCACAGAGATGAACACATAGGGTCGTCGTCGTGTCTCCCCCTACAAGCCCCCCAGTGTGTGCCAGCACTGGCACAGATGGGCATCAGGATGCTGGGGCGTGGGGTGGGGGGCTGCTTTCCTGGGCCTGGGGGCAGAAGAGAGGTTTCACTGCAGAAAGGCCTCTGAAAGTGAATGATGGGAAAGAGGGTGGAGCGAATGCAAGGCCCCAAGGCGGGAGGAGCCTGCAGCTCAGGAAAGCAATCATGGAGGTTGGGCGAGGGGTAGGGCTAAGAGTAGGCTTCTGGGTCTCCTCACCGGCCCTGTGGTTCCCAGACCATCGGCTGGAATATGTGCCCCATCCCCCCTGGTCTTCCAGTCTATCAAGGTTCTTTGGGAAAGTGTTCCAGCCGTCTGTCCAGGTTCCTGGGCAGGAGGCAGTGGTTTAGTGGCTGTGGCTGCAGCGGGTTGAGTACAACCCCCAAGAGAGACAAAGGGAGAAAATGGCTAGCTCGGGGAAAGCACAGCACCCCTACTCGCCCTGTTCCATCAGCCAGTGAGCGGGAGCTGGCCATCATGCAGAGGACTAGCTGGAGGCCCAGGAAAAGGGATAGGATTTCTTAGAGTCCAGCAAAGATAGTCTAGGGGCCAGGACTTCTGATCCTAGAGGGAAGGAGGTGGGGATCCCCAAGACTCCTGGGTCAGTCTTGGACTCGGTCTTTTTGGGGCCTTGGGAGAAAACGCCCTTGATGAGAGGAGAACTTCAGGTGGCTCAGCCCAGCAGCTCAGCCCTTCCCTGGCCCCGGAGGCCCGGGCGCGGGTGCTCAGGCTCTGACGGCATCCCGCCGGCCGCCACAGGTGATCCTGGCGCTGTCCAGCCACCTGGGGGCCGTGGAGTCGGAGAAGCAGAAGCTGCGGGCCCAGGTGCGGCGCCTGGTGCAGGAGAACCAGTGGCTGCGAGAGGAGCTGGCGGGGACGCAGCAGAAGCTGCAGCGCAGCGAGCAGGCGGTGGCCCAGCTCGAGGAGGAGAAGCAGCACTTGCTGTTCATGAGCCAGATCCGGAAGCTGGATGAGGACAACTCCCCCAGCGTGAGTGCTGCTGCAGCCACTGCCGGGCCAGGGCAGAGGGCCTGGGGGCGGGAGGGCAGCACCGAGCACTCAGCTCCCCCAGCCGCTGACCTCTGGGCTGCCTCGCCCTTCCCTGATCTCACCCTGTCTTCCTGCCCAGGAGGAGAAGGGGGAGGTCCCCAAAGACTCTCTGGACGACCTGTTCCCCAACGAGGAGGAGCAGAGCTCAGGTGCGGAGGGCAGCTGGTTCTGGGGTGGAGGGGTAGAGAGCGATGAACAGATTCTTGGTCCTTGGGCCTCAGAGATCACCAGAAACAGGAACCAACTGGTTGGCATGTTCCTTCCTGGCATTCATTCCTGATCACACATCCCAGCATGTGAGAGCTTAACTGACAGGGGTCCCACGTTTCCCTACCACCTCCCCCACCCCCAGCTCCAGCGGAGCTGGCACCACAGTCCAGCCTGGCTCACTGTGCCACTTGCTGCTCTGTGACCGCCCGCAGAGCTGTTTCCTCTCAGCGCCCTCTGAGGGCTGAGGGAGGGTCAGAGCAGTGGGAGCCCTGGGCCAGTGCACCTTGCTTGGTGCCCTGTGCAGTCAGACCTCCCTCAGCAGCTGAGGAGCTGAGGCTCCAGGGCAGGTAGTTCGTGAGGACATTACCCCCCCTTTCTGGGGTGGTTCTTCGATGAAGAAGTTGAGACCAAACAGTAACTTGCCTAGGGCCGCGTGTCAGGTGCGTTAGAGGCGTGCTTGGCATGCACCAGTCCAGCCGAGGGGCAGTTAGGTTCATCTGAGTTTCTCCCCTTGGCCTTGCAGCCCCCAGCCCCGGAGGAGGGGACGCGGCTGCCCAGCACGGGGGCTACGAGATCCCGGCCCGGCTCCGCACCCTGCACAACCTGGTGATCCAGTACGCCTCCCAGGGCCGCTATGAGGTGGCCGTGCCGCTGTGCAAGCAGGCGCTCGAAGACCTGGAGAAGACGTCCGGCCATGACCACCCTGATGTGGCCACCATGCTCAACATCCTGGCGCTGGTCTACCGGTGAGGCCCCCCGCACAGGCACAGCGCCTGTGCCTTCCCTGAAGGCTCCCTCCCTGGGCCAAACCTCAGCGCCTGCCCTGGGCCAGGACCAGCCTGGGTTTCTCCAGGCGCTTGGGCAGCAGAGAGAGGAGCTTGTGCCAAAGGGGCTGAGCCCACAGGGTGCCTGGGCCTGCACGGCCTGGGCTGTAGGCCTGTAGGTGTGCATAAGCCTCGGGCTAGTGGGGGAGAAAGGTTTGGAAATAGCCAGGGAGGGAGCTGGCACAGCTTCTCTAGGCACTGTGGCTAGAGTAGGTCTTTGGTAGAAAGTGAATCTTCCCAGAACACGAGAGGATTGAAAAGGTTCCCAGCAGGAAGAGCAGAATGAGCGAGGGCACTGGAGGATATAGAACGGTGTGCGTTGGGCATGAGGCAGGGGCGGGTCTGGGTGAGCCTGCTTCCTGCCCAGCACTGCATGCCCTGGTGAGTGAGTGCATTCCCGGAGCCCCTTTGCCCCTGGAGGCCGGCTGACCAGTTCCCGTGCTCCGGTCATAACCGTGCCCGCTCAGAAAAGGCAGGCGTGAACAAGGGACCGGACCACTGCGGGCAGGGCCAGGCTGGAGGAGGATCTCACCGTCCTTCCGCCCACCCCAGGGACCAGAACAAGTACAAAGAGGCTGCTCACCTGCTCAATGACGCCCTGGCCATTCGCGAGAAGACACTGGGCAAGGACCACCCAGCTGTGAGTGAGGGGGTGGGGGTGGGGCTCTGCTGCTCTCTGCGGCTCCCAGGTCTCAGAAGGGCCCTGGGTCACCGAGCCTCCATTTATTCTCCACCTCCTCCCTCTTCCCCTCCCCTCCCCTCCTCCTCCCTCTCCCCCTCCCCTCCCTCCTCCTCCCTCTCTCCCTCCCTCTCCCCTCCCCCTCCCCCTCTCCCTCTTCCTCCCCTAGGTGGCTGCAACATTAAACAACCTGGCGGTTCTGTACGGCAAGCGGGGCAAGTACAAGGAGGCCGAGCCTCTGTGCAAGCGGGCCCTGGAGATCCGGGAGAAGGTGGGCGCAGGCAGGGTGGGGCAGGCCAGGCAGGGGGCCTAGGCCAGCACTGAGCCTAGCCACTGGCTTCTGCTCCCATCCCAGGTCCTGGGCAAATTTCATCCCGATGTGGCCAAGCAGCTGAGCAACCTGGCACTGCTCTGCCAGAACCAGGGCAAAGCCGAGGAGGTGGAATACTACTACCGGCGGGCACTGGAAATCTACGCCACACGGCTCGGGCCTGATGACCCCAACGTGGCCAAGACCAAGAGCAACCTGGTACCCTGGGCCAGGAGGAGCTACCCGGGGGGGGGGGGGGAGAGGGCTGAGGGAGGAAGGGGAGGAAAAGGCTCAGGTCCCTGCGTCTGCTTTTCCTCCGGCCCCTGCCTCTGCAGGCCTCCTGCTACCTGAAGCAGGGCAAGTACCAGGATGCGGAGACCCTGTACAAGGAGATCCTCACCCGAGCTCACGAGAAGGAGTTTGGCTCTGTCAATGGTGAGTTCGTGGCTGCCATGTGCCCCCAGCTCACAGAGCACAGGCTCAGCAGCCAGGCAGGCAGGCCCTCAGGCCTGGGTGTCCTGTGCACATGTGAGCAGGCACACACACCTCCTGGCCCTGTCTGTGCCATGACACTTTGTATACCCCACGCCCTAGACCCAGAGTCTTTCCCCTTTCTCTCCTGGGCAACTTTGGCTCCCCATGAAGGCCCAGCCCAAAAGTCTCCCTCTCTGGGAAGCTGCCGTCTGGCCCCTGATGGCCCATTTCCTGCTCTGAGTCCTTCAGCCTGGCCCGCCTCTCAGGCTCAGGTGGGGCCCACGGTGTTTGAGGGTCTGCTCCCCCAAGCCCCTCAAGCACAAGCTTAGGCCACAGTCATCTGTTTCAGGGGAGGGTCACTAACGTTTTAGGTCTGATTCTTGTTCACTCATTCAGCAAGCCCAACCTTGATTCTTCCTGGCTCCTCCTGATCCCCTCCCCAGACCCCAGTTCTATATCCAGCCCAACCAGCAGAGGCCTGTATTGGAGGCTGGTGACAGCCCCCTTTTTCTCCGCAGGGGACAACAAGCCCATCTGGATGCACGCAGAGGAGCGGGAGGAGACCAAGGTAGCAGTACTGGACCGGCTGGATGGGTGTCCGGGGGAGGAGGGGGAGAGGGGGGTGTGTGGAGGGGAGGGTCTTCTCTCCCCCCACCCTGACCGTTCTTTCCCCAGAACAAGCGCCCGGACAGCACTGCCTATGGGGAATACGGCAGCTGGTACAAGGCCTGCAGAGTGGACAGGTGAGGACGGCAGGGCAGGGCTGGCGGCAGAGCAGGTAGCAGGGTGAGATTCTGGTTGGCCGGCTGGTTCCTCAGAGCCCAGTATGGCTGGATGCCAGGATAGGCCCTGGTTCCTGGGGAAAAGAATGTGAGACTGTCCCGCTGTCCTGTCCACAGCCCCACAGTCAACACCACCCTGCGCAGCTTGGGGGCCCTGTACCGGCGCCAGGGCAAGCTGGAAGCTGCGCACACACTGGAGGACTGTGCCAGCCGCAGCCGCAAGCAGGTGGGCGACAGGCCTGAGGACTGGGCAGGGTCCTTCTCGGCCCTGTTTTCCACCTAATGTGCCCTCCACTTCCTTAGGGCCTGGACCCTGCGAGCCAGACCAAGGTGGTGGAACTGCTGAAGGATGGCAGCGGTGGGCGGGGGGACCGCCGTGGCAGCCGGGACGTGGCCGGGCGCGCTGGGGCTCAGGCTGAGTCTGACATGGAGGAGGCAGGGCCCGCAGCCGAGTGGAGCGGGGTGAGTCGAGGGGTTGCGGTGGGCAGGAGGCTGTGTGGCCAGCACGACAGAGACCAGCATGTCCCCCCCACAGGATGGCAGCGGCTCCTTGCGGCGCAGCGGCTCCTTGGGGAAGCTCCGAGACGCTCTGAGGCGCAGTAGTGAGATGCTGGTGAAGAAGCTGCAGGGTGGGGGCCCCCAGGAGCCCCCAAACCCCAGGTCAGCCTCTGCCCTGATCGGTTTACCACGCAGGGTGAGCCTTAAGAACCACCCAACACCCCAAATGAGCTCCACTACCCACCACATCTGTGCCTCCCTCAGCTCCCCCCACCCCCACCCCTTTCCCACCTTCCGGTCCCACCAGGGCACATCCTGGCCTTCCTTCCCCTCAGGATGAAGCGGGCCAGTTCTCTCAACTTCCTCAACAAGAGTGTGGAAGAGCCAGCCCAGGTATGGCGGGAGGCCCAGGCCCGGGCGGGAGGCCCAGGCCCGGGCGGGAGGCCCAGGCCAGGGTGGGAGGCCCAGGCCTGGACAGGAGGCCTGCATCCCTGTGTGCCTAACGGGCTCCTCCAGCATGGCTCCCCGGCAGCATTTCCTGGCTCTGGCTCTGGCTCTGGGCTGGACACTGGGGGGACAAATTAGGGAAACCCAGCCCCTGCTTGGGTGGACATGCAGGTGGCCAGTACCAACACTGTCCCTGTGGAGGCGGGCAGGGGTGTCAGGACCAGGACGGGGCATGGGTGGGGCTCAGGGATTCTGGCCAGGGAAGCACAGACTGGCAGCAGCACAAGGCTGAGCCACATGCCCCTCTGCCCACAGCCTGGAGGCACAGGCCTCTCTGACAGCCGCGCCCTCAGCTCCAGCTCCATGGACCTCTCCCGACGAAGCTCCCTGGTGGGCTAACCCTGAAGGGCAGCCAGTGCCACAGCCTGCACCGGCTCTGCCCTCCCCAGCCCTGCGCATGGGCCTGCTGCTTGTCTTGCCTGACTCTCCCCAGGACCCGTCTTTTCTGTTCAATCTCAGGGTAACCTCCTCCGTCATCTCAGCCTGGGCCCTGGAGGCTGGGCCTGCCCGGCCCCAGCTCCACCCCTTATTTACTCCTCCCAGCAGGGCCCTGTCCCTAGGTTCAGAGCCAGTGGAAGCTGGCTAGGGTCTTCCAGGTAGAGGCTCAGTGGCCTGCCATCCCCTGACGCCGGAGTCAAGAACACTAAGTAACTGCCCTCCAGTCAGCACCCTGCCCTGCCTCCCCCCCTCCCCTCCTCCCCCCCTCCCCCTGCCTCCCGCCCCTCCTTGGCCGTTGCTTCTGTATATAGAGAAATAAGTTATTGGCCGCGCCCCTCTCCTCAGTCTACCGTACTGCCTGGGCTTCCCCTCACCCCGCCCTACTCTAGTGGTACCGCCCAGGCCTTAATCACCCCCATTCCACGCGGTGGTATCTCCCAGGCTCCACAACACATCTGGGGATCTCCCCAAAAGGTTCCCTGGGCCTTGTCGCGCTCCTCCTGGACTCTGAGGGGTGTGGACTCTGAGGGATGCGTCCTGCCCCACCGTCACTCTGTGCCCCGGATGGAGAATCCTCCCCTTATCAGCCCCTCAACGCCGGGCCCTGCCCTGCATCCCGGCCTTATGCACTGTCCCTCCCGCCCGACCCCACCAGGCACTGCCTGTCGAGCCATCCAACCACGCCTTCTCCCACGCCTGCAGCTTCTCTCGAGGGACAGTGATGTCCCTGCTATGGCAGGAGGGGCTGCTCCAGTTGTGGGGTGAGGTGGTCGTTCTCTATTTTCAAATGTTGCTGTAGAAATAAAGATGGTTTGAATCTGAGCCGGGCTTGTTTTGGGGCTGAAGTCCAGGGCTCCCAGGGTCTAGGCTGGGGTTGGGGTTGGGGGTCGGGAAAGGCTGCGAATGAAGGGTGTGTGTGTGTGTGTGTGTGTGTGTATCCCTCATGTCCCATTCCTCCAACTGGAGCCCAGATATTCTTTCCCATAATTGGGGGTCCCAAGGGTCAAGATCTAACAGTTCTCATCTTTGAGGTTCTAGAAAATTGCGGGCTTTGACTGAGCTCTGCCCCTTAGTAAGCTGTTGGACCTTGAGCGAGTTACTGATACTCGATTTTTCCATCTATGAAATGTGGACGAGGTCACCTTCCCCCGGGCCTGTGGCTGTGAGTTAGGAACGCCAGTACACGAAGGACCCTGGAGAAATGAACTTTTTCAAATACTCCGGGAGGCGGGAGGATAGGGATCAATGCCTGTCAGACAGATGTGTCAACCCGGCCTTAAACAGAGCTTCCAACTCCAGGAAGGTCTCCCAAGCGCTGTCCAAAAGCCCAGGTATGTCTAGAGAGGGAACTACAAGCCCCAGAAGGCAATGCGCAGTGATGAGCTAGAAGGCTGGGCTCCCCGGTTTGCGCCTGCGCTGCCGAGTACGTTGGACAACGTGAGGAGACTACAAGTCCCAAGAAGCAACACGCAGCGAGGTCCCAGGCTGGAATGTTTGCGGCTGCGCGTCGCGGGCGGGGCCTCTGGGGCGGAGCGGCCACCATCTTGGAACAGGAGGCGGAGCAGAGCCGACTGGGAGCGACCGAGCGGGCCGCCGCTGCCGCCATGAACCCCGAATAGTGAGTGAGCCCCGCCTGCGCCGTCCGGCGTAGCCTCGATCCCGAGTACGGGGCTGTGCGCTTACCGGGTTGTCCGGCCCGGGTCAGGACTGTGCGGCCCCCACATCCGGGTCCCTCTTCCGCTGACCCCCCCCCCACACACACACACACATCCGGGTCCTGCCCCTCCCCCGGGGCCCCCAGGACCCCGGCTCCACACCCCTAGTTCTTGCACCCGGGGCCCAGACACTGCGACCCCGAGGGACACTACCTGGAGCCTGAGGGGCTGACCCTGACTGGCCTTACAGGTCAGGTGACCCCGCAGCCCTGGCCTCCCCAGGCCTCAGTTTCCCCATCTGGTGAAGAGTGGCGATCTGAGCGCTGACAATGGCCTCAGCGATAAGGTCTCTCACCAGAGGGTTCCCGGTCTCGGTCCAGACTCCTGCCCTTTAGGTCGGGCCGTAAATCGTCTGCTCTCGCCCTTCTCGCGGAATCCGGTTCCCGGGCCGGCCGGGAGGTCCCGGGGCGCCGCTGGCGTCGCCCTCCCCGGGTCCTCCCGCCGCGGGGCCGGCTCCCGCCGCTCCGGCCCGCCCGCCCTCTCCTCTCCCGGGCAGCCCGGCCGCCGTCACACCCCTTCCCCTGCTGTCACACTGCTGCTTAGCCGAACGTGGCAGTTGCCGCTCCCCTCCCGTGAGGTTCTCTTCCTCAGACTCTCCTGGTCACTCCCCCTAGGGGTAGGTGGCCCGCATCTGTCCCAGGCCGCTCAGGACAGTTTTCCTGAGTGTCAGTTCTCTCCCCGCTGCCACTTCCTCCTCCAGAGCCAGGCCTGGAGAGGCTTCCTGGGAGAAGGGAGCTGACAGCTCTCACAGACCTCGGGGTCTGAACCCGGGTTCCAGTCCTCAGGTTACCAGCTGTGTGACTCAGGGCAAGCCACTTCCCTTCGCTGCCTCTGGTTTCCTCATTTATTGGGAATAACAACCACCCTCTTCCCTGGACTGTCGCGGGGCTTACACGCAAGGGTGCGTTTGGAATTCTTAGCCCTGGGTCAGGCACACAGGAACCCGATACGGCCTGACTGCTCACTGTTGTTATTGCCACCTCTTCTGGAGGCGTCATGGGAGCTCTGCACAGTAATTCACTCAGCAAGCTCTAGGCCAGGCCCTGGCTTCCATTTCTGGGGCCTCCCCTGCCAAGACAGGTCCCCTAGATAGTCCCTACTGGACTCCAGACCATGGGTCTGTCAGGAATCAGGGTAGGTACCCAGCCCTGTCCCCTCAGCAAGTCATGTCCCTCTCTGTGCCTCAGTTTCCTTCTCTGTAAAGTGGGAATTCTGTGTTACGGGGGGTGGCCAGCTCTCCCCTCCTGAGACTTGTGGGAGGATCTTGTGAACACCTGAGTGCTCTAAGCTGAGGCCTGCCTCGGGGCGGAGAATGCTATGACGGCTCCCGGATGATGGCTCCCTACCTGCCTCACACCTTCCCATCCTTCCTCTCCAGTGACTACCTGTTTAAGCTGCTTTTGATTGGTGACTCGGGCGTGGGCAAGTCCTGCCTGCTCCTTCGGTTCGCTGTGAGTAGGAAGTCTCCCCTACCATCCTCTGGGTGTCTGGCTGGTGGCTGGAGGGAGAATGGGCAGCCCAGAGCACAGTAGTTGCAAGACGTGGGGATGAAGGACGAAGTTGCAGGAGCTGCCAGCAACATGGCTACTGAACAAGGACATGTGGCTGGCCAGTCGGGTGCAGTTAGGAGCTTTGCGGGGACAGGACACTGGAGGGGGGTTTTCTAGTTAGGCCTCAGGACGTGTCCCTGGCCCTGATCTTCCAGGATGACACGTACACGGAGAGCTACATCAGCACCATCGGGGTGGACTTCAAGATCCGAACCATCGAGCTGGATGGCAAAACCATCAAACTTCAGATCGTGAGTGTCGCTCGTCCCCGGGCCTGGGGCCGAGCCCCGCCATGGAGGACGGACGGGGCGCTGGGCGGGGAGCAGGCTGACCCTCTCCTCTGTCTGGCAGTGGGACACGGCGGGACAGGAGCGGTTCCGGACCATCACGTCCAGCTACTACCGGGGCGCTCACGGCATCATCGTGGTGTATGACGTCACCGACCAGGTACTCTCAGCTCACCTCCCCCTGCTTTGCTTCCTCTGCCTCAGCTCTTTGGCTCTGGCTTCTTTTTACTCTTCCCGTCCTCTTCCTGAGATGGCCTGGAGAGGAACAGAGCAGAAACAGGTCCTCAGAGGCCCTGCTGCAGGGGCCTCACAGAGCCAGGCCTCGCCCCTCCCCTTATTTTGGACCATCTGGGCACCTTCGTTTTGAAGGAGTCGAGTCGGTTGGTTGGTTGCTGGGCTGGGCCCATGGCCTCCTTGTAAAGACCGAGAGAAGCCGATGGAGAGCTTTGGACAAGGAGGCGAGGGAGCCTGCACATGGGCACGGTGTGGGCAGAGGCCCGGGAGCCCTGTGCCTGTGGTGGCCGCATTAGGCCTGTGTCTCTGGCAGCAGCGCCGTGTTCACTGGGAACGGTCACACGTGCCTCGTAGTTGACAGAGCGCGTCAGTCTTCGGTGTTCACAGCACCCAGAGGTCGGCTCTGTGTTCCCGCTTCACAGGGGAGGTGTCAGCGGAGAGGAGGCTTGCTCAGGGTCCTCAGCTGCTCGTTGGCAGACACAGAAAGCCTAGGCTACTGGTTCTATACTGTTCTTTCTCCAAACCTCGCTGCTTAGTGGGGACCCGGCTCTGGGGACGTGGAGATGCTCCCATCGGCTCCGGCCAGAGGAGTCGCTGCGCTTGGGGCAGCGGGGCTGGGCTCCCGGTGCACAGGGCCCGTGGCGGTGCCTCCTGGACAGGCTGCGGTGAGCTGTGCCCCACTCACACACAGGTCACCACGGCCCTGACCGCCAAACCCCGTGACCGCGCTTCGGTTCTCACCGATGGCCCTCTCGTGGCTTTTCACTCCGTCCTCCTCACTCCAGCTGTCCAGCTCCTCTGCTAGGTCTTCCGGTGGCTTGTCACTGCGTCACCTGTGCTGCCCTCCCTGGCTCCCTGCGTGGTCTGGGCCACTCAGTGGTTTGGCTTCCGTCTTACGTTCTGGGATTCCTGTCTCAGTAGCCCTCGCTGTAGATCTTCTTGTTGACATTCCGCTAGTACTGTGTCTGTATTCTGATCTTCCCAGTGTTACCCAGTGACCAAGTAGTGGGTCCCCGTGTCCTGGTGAGGAGACACGCTGGAGAGCTGTTGCCCGCAGCCCGAAAGGCAAAGCCAGAGTTTGAACCCAGGGCTCTTTGCTTCTGAGCGCACCCTTTCCTGCTCCCGGACAGCCTCCCTGAGCACATCTGCTGGACACTGGCCTCGCCATCTCCTGAACCAGCTCTGTATCCCTCTTAGCCTGGCCAGCAAACTGCCCTCCCCCAGCCAGCCCCTCTGAGGCCCTCTCTGTCCTCCCCCTCCTCTCAGATCTGGCTCCTCGTAATAACAGCTTCTAATTAAGCACTTGTGAGGAGAAGGCCTGCATTCACTGTCCCGTGCTCACAGCCCCACTGGGAGGAACTGGTTTTCAGAGGGGAGGAAACAGGCTCAGGCCAGCTGACACATCTGGGGTCACACAGTCAGTGGCAAAGCCAGGGCCTCACCAAGGATCGTCTGCCTGGGCCCTGCGCTCCTGCCCGCCTCACTCCCTGGCCAGGGCGCAGCTGCTCTTCCTGTTGGTCTCCATCTTCTTCCGCTCTGGTCTGGCCTCTGCTCTCCTGCCAGGACGGTCTTCACAGAACAGGGGTGATCCTGCCGCTCCCTCCCTAAGAACCCACTGGCTCCGGCTGGCTGAGGTGCAGCCAGGCCAAGCTCCTCCAGGCCTAGCCTGCTCCTCACCTCTCAGGCCTGTGTCCCAGCATCATTCCTTTCTCCCCGCTCCGAAGGCACCGTGCCCCTGGCACCTGTGACCCACCGCCTGCCGCCTGCTCCCTGCACCGCTCCCACCCCTCCTGCTTTCTCGCAGGCCGGCTCGTCCCTTCAGGAGCGGCCAGCAGAGCCTCCAGGCGGTGGTGCTGAGCTCCTGCAGCCCCGGCACCCTGTCCGCCGCCCTGTGTCCTGGCCTGGCCCTTCCTTTCCCCGGTGCTTCACTCCTTTACCCCGTGCCCAGCACAGGGCCCCCTGGGCCGCGCGGGGGGCGAGTTTGAACCCGGTGATCTGTCATCTCTGCTCCTCAGAAAGGAAGTGGCTCTGGCTCCGCACCACCTACAAGTTCCGTCTTTCCCGCAGGCCGGCTGGGGCGGGGAGTGGCGAACCCCCGAGAGCCAGAGGAGGGTGAATGTTAGACTCTGTTCCCAGAACTGTCTCCCTCCGAGGCCAGGGGCTCCCCGCAGGACCCTTCCCCTGCCGTGGGCTCCACGACGTCACCCTTAGAGGGCCTCTGAGGCGCTGCAGGAACTGGGGTCCGTGCTGACCTGTTACTCTCGATTACGGTCTCTACCTGATGCCATTTGCTCCCCAACCTTTCTGGGGTACAGGGAGAGAGGAGCAGCTGGGGCCTCTGTGTGGGGGTGGGGGCTGTTGGCAGACAGTGGGTGGAGCTGGGCTGGCTTTGGGGTCTCAGACAGAGGAGGGCAGGGAGGGGAGTCCAGGCTCCGGCTCTCAGGGTCCAGGGCAGCCCCTCCCCGGAGCCCCGTGCTGCCCGGGGAGTGGGGGGCACAGTAACCTGGCCTCGCTCCCCAGGAATCCTACGCCAACGTGAAGCAGTGGCTGCAGGAGATAGACCGCTATGCCAGCGAGAACGTCAACAAGCTGCTGGTGGGCAACAAGAGTGACCTCACCACCAAGAAGGTGGTGGACAGCACCACGGCCAAGGTGAGTGCCGGGCCGGGCCTCCGGGGGGGGGCGACTGCCTCTCACGCCCCTTCTCTCCTCTCCTCTCCTCTCCTCTCCTCTCCCCTCGGCAGGAGTTTGCCGACTCCCTGGGCATCCCCTTCCTGGAGACCAGTGCCAAGAATGCCACCAACGTGGAGCAGGCGTTCATGACCATGGCGGCCGAGATAAAGAAGCGGATGGGGCCCGGGGCCGCCACGGGGGGCGAGCGGCCCAACCTCAAGATCGACAGCACCCCTGTGAAGCCGGCGGGCGGCGGCTGCTGCTAGAGGGGTGGGGGGGCAGAGGGCGCCTTCTCCAGATGATGCTCCTGGAGGGGCGGAGGGGCCTCCCTCTCCTGGGGCGTTTGAGTCTGTGGCTTTGGGGTGTCCTTGGCTCCTCATCTCCCTCTGGCCCATCTGCCTGCCACCCTGAGCCTCGGTTCTACCAGGGCCCCAAGGAGGACACCAGGCCCGGGGCTGGGCAGGGGCGGGCCTTGCTCTGCTGCCGCCTCTAGAAAACGTTAAAAGACACCCCATGTTCACTCTTTGGGATGAGGGCCCCTGTCTGTCTCCCTCCCTGGCCCCCATGTATGCTGCAGTGGGTTTCTCTTTATCTTTTCTCCCCTGCCCAGCCCTTCCCCACAAACCGAGGGCCGCCCAGGCCTCTGCTGCCCAGGCTGTCAGTGCCCAGGTCAGAAATGGGACCGGGGGACCAGGGCCTGGGATCCAGGGTCCTAGGTCAGACCTCAGGATGGGCATGGGGGTCCCAGGGGTCCCACAGCTCCCCCTTTCGCCGCCTTCCTACTGCTCCTCCCACCCCTCCCACACTCACAGCTCCAGCCGTCCAGCTGCAGTGAGGTCTGAGCCCATCGAGTGCAGGTGGGCGGGCAGCTAGCTGGGCCTGTGTCTTGTGCCCTGCCGGAGCCAGGCCCATGTGCCGCCTGCCCACCGCGCCCCTTTGTGCTCAGGCAGGCGGAGGTGGAAGGCGCACAGTGCCAGAGCTGGGCACAGCCTTAACCCTCACTCTGCCGCACCTCCCTTCCCCGGGCAGCACAGTGGCTTCCTCCCCTCGGAGCCTGCGAGGGCACATCCTCATCCTCTGTTGCTACTTCTCTGGGGAATGTGGGTGCCACCCAGGGTTGGGGGCCTCTCTCCTCACCCCCTCCCACCCAGGATCCTAGCCCTGCCTCTGGCACAGCTTCTCCCTGCAAAAACCTTCGGTCTCCACCTGACAAGCCATGTCCCTGTGCCCCGTGCCCTGCCTGTCCCACCTGTGCCCTGCCTCCCAGCTTGTATTTAAGTCCCCGGGCTGCCCCTTAGGGCGCCCCCCCCCCCCAGGTTCCCCTCCGGTGTCATGTCAGGCATTTTGCAAGGAAAAGCCACTCGGGGAAGACAGAAAGGACAAAAAAATAAATTTCCAGTGGCCCTCGGGCGAGCTGAGGGTTTTTGCAAGGAAGTTGTGGCTGCGTGTGGTCTGTGGGGGGCCCCACGGGGGCTGGGCTTGGGCTGCCTCCTGGGTTGCTGTCCAGAGTCCTTGACCCACTTCCTGAAGCCGGAGAGCGGCTTGTGCTTGTGGGTGTCCCCTGGGCCCAGCATGGCTCCATCAGGGAGGGACAGGCCGGCCGCACCCGGTGAAGCCAGCGCCCGCGGGCACAGCAGGCTGTGCGGCTGGGAATGGCCGGGACCCAGGCCTCCGGTTCAGCCCCGCTCTGGCTTCGCTGGCCTCCGGCCGGAGTCTCCCCTGGACGGTGACCGCTCCCCCCTGAGACCTCATGCAGCCTCCGGCCAGGGGAGCGGGTGGGTGCTGGTCCCGGGACCGAGGCTGACGGTGGATGAGGGTCCGACCCCATTGGGGTCGGGTGTGGGCGGTGGGCGGTCTGACCCCATCGGGGCGGGTGGGGGCGGTGGGCGGTCTGACCCCATCGGGGCGGGTGGGGCGGGCGGTCTGACCCCATCGGGGCGGGTGGGGGCGGTGGGCGGTCTGACCCCATCGGGGCGGGTGGGGCGGGCGGTCTGACCCCATGGGGGGGGGGGGCGGGCGGTCTGACCCCATCGGGGGCGGGGGGGGCGGTGCCGGGTGGGCGGCCCTCCTCGGTGTCACGGGGGCGGGGGCGGGGGCGGGGGCTCGGGCCGGGTCCTGGCGGCTGGGCTCCGGGGACCCGCCCCGCCCGAGGCCCCGGCAGCGGCCCCGCCCCCGGCTCCGCCCCCCGGTTCGGGGCTGGAGAGGGAGCCGCGGGCGAGGCTTCGCAGGATGAGCGATCGGGGCCCGGGCAGCCGGCAGCGGACGCGCCGCCCGAGCCCCCCGGCCCGCGGCCCCGGCCCCGGCCCCGCCGCCAGCGTCCGCCTCCCCCGGGCCATGCCCGGCCGGCCCTGAGCGCGGGCCGGGGGGCGTCCCTTCCCGGGCCCCGCGCTGGCGCCCCCCGGGCCGCCGGGCGCGGGGGCCATGGCGTTCACCTTCGCCGCGTTCTGCTACATGCTCACCCTGGTGCTGTGCGCCTCCCTCATCTTCTTTGTCATCTGGCACGTAAGCCGGGGCCGGGGCGGGGGCGGGGGGCGCGGGCGGGAGCGGGAGCGGCCGGAGGGGATGGTCTGGGGCCCAGGGAGACGGGGTTCCTCTCCGCCCCCCCAGCCGGCCCGCGAACGCCCCTGTGCGCGGCTTCCCTTCCCGGGCGGCCCCTGCCCCGCCGCCCCCGCTCTGTGGCTCTGCCCTCGGCCCCTGACTCCCTTCCCTGCCCCGAGCAGCCTGGAGGGTGGGGTGGGATTCTGGGGTTCTGGCTTCTTCCTGCCCCCACTGCCTGATGCCCCCCTCCAGCTGCCCCCGTTTCCGTCGGTCTGCTTGCTCCCCCCACCCCCCTTGTGGGTTTTTCCAGCCCGAGTGATGGAGCCGGTTGCTATGGCAACTGCATCTGTTTACAGGACCCACAGATCGCGGAGCCCATTAACCCTTTTCCTTCCCATCCCCCTCCTGACCCAGCAGCCATTGCCTCTAAGCAGCCCAGAGACCTGCCCCACCCCCAGCTCACCTGGGTTTCCCTACCCCTCCGTGTCCCCACCAGGTCTCCTCCCCACTTTCCAGCTTCCCTCCGCGTCCTGCCCCCGCGTTCCCCTTTGTCTGCTGTTCCCTGGTTTGTCTCTCACTGGCCCGCCTCACACCTGGCCCTGGAGAAGCTCCATTTCTTATCTTCATCCTGACCGCCTTGCCTCAGGGTCCCCTCTCCCCGTCTCTCTCCGCCCTCCGGGTGGGGCCCCTGCCTGGCTCCCTGCCTCACACGGAGCCACCGGCCTGCCTTTCAGCTCACTGTCTGGGGCCTTTAGCCCCCACCCCCCGCCCTCCCTCCTCCTCTGGCTCCTCAGCCCCATCACCCCCCCAGCCCATCTCACCCTGGCCCTTCCACTCAACCTGCCAGCACCGGCACACCCCTCCCCGATTTTTCCCTCTGCGGGGTTACCCTTTCCCCCCTCAAGTCCTTCCCTGTCCCCCTCCTTCCTCTCACTGCTTCCGTATTGTCTCACTGCCTCTCTCCTTGTCTCCCCACTCCCTCTCTCCTTCCTTTTCCTGGGGTTTGCTGCCTGCCGGCTCCGTGGTCCTCCCAGCTCTGACCAGTCTCCCTTCACCACCCCCTGCCGCCCATCTCTTTTCTGTCAGACTCCATGGACTCAGACCTCTCTCCTGAGGAAGGAGTGAGCTCCCTTAGGCACCTTCTCTCTCACACACATTCTCTCTCACATACACACTCACACACACACACCATCTCCAGGCCTCTCTCTCTCTCCCTGGCTTTGTCTTTCTCTCTGGGCCTCTCAGTTGCTTTTTCCTTTCCCTCCCCCTTCCTCTGTTCTCTTCCCCTCGCTCCATCCCCGCCGGGGTCCATGTTGATCTCTCTGAGTTCCCCATTTCATCTGGGCCTTAGGAGCAGGAGGGCTGGGGTCCTGAGGGCGGGAGGAATTGAGACTGGGAACTCAGAGCTAACCAGTTCCCGGGAGAAAGGCTCCCAAAATTCAGGAAGCCCCTTTCTGGGCCCCTCCCTACCCAGAGGCCTCCCTCAGTCCCTGGGGGTCCCTGTCCTTAGGGGTCCTCAGAGAAGTCATCCATCCAACCGACGCGTCCCTGCTTCCTGAGAACCCACTCTGGTGGCTCTGGGAAAGGCAGGGTGAATAAGACTCCGGCTTTGCCCTGTGGGGTCCCCAGGCTGGGAGAAAGGCCCAGCTGTCTCGGCAGACATTTATTGAGCACCTACTGCGTGCCCGGCTCTGTGCTGGCTCAGTATCCTGCTGGGTGACCTTAGTAACGACCCCTCATTCTGAGTTTGTTTCCTCGTCAGTAGATGGGCTTGTGGTGTGTACCGTACAGGGCCCAGGGCAGGGCCTGCTCAGGGGCGGGTGGGGACAGGAGGTGTGGTCCTAGATCCAAACCCTCTCAGGGCAGGACCCAGATCCCACCCCACAGCCTGAGCCCAAGCCCACTGGTCGCTAGGCAACCCTGATGGTGAGTGACGCGTGTCAGCTGTCGCCGTGGGGGTTGTTTGTTCCAGGGGCTGAGTCAGCGCCAGGCAGCCTGGGGGGTAGGAGGCGAGACACCCGCCTCCTGCTGGTGGTGCCCGCTCTGGGGCGGGCAGGCAGGCGGCACCCTGCTCCCTGCCGGACCCGCTGCGGGGCCTGGCAGGCAGGCGGCTGCCCAGAGTCAGTAGGGAGTCGGGGTGCTGCTCCAGATGGAGAACAGGAAGCCCGTGTTCTCTCCCTCCCAGCCGTCTGGGGTCTGGGCTGCTGGGGCGCGGTGGGCCTGCTGTCTCCTCTTAGGGCTGCTGCTGCGGGGAGAAGCCCCAGAAGGCTCCTCTCAAACCTCCTCCCATGCCAGTCCTCCCGAGGTCTGTCCCATCATCCCCTCACACACCTGCTCCCCCAAGCTCCCCTCCCAGTGAGGACACTGCCCCCCCAGGTGCCCTCACACAGGCCCCTTGGGCTCTCTGCCTCTGCTCGATGCTCCTCAAGCTCTGAGTCTGGTTCCTAAACAGCTCTGGAGCCCACCCACCTCCAATCCCACCACTCCCTCCCCCAGATCCCCATCAGCACCAAACACTCTCGCAAGCCCCTCGCTGATCTGTCCTGACTGATGAGGTGGTTACGGAGTTTAGGGTCTGAGTTCGAATCCTGGCTTGCCACTAACTAACTGTGTGGCCTTGGACTAGTCACGTCCCTGTCTGTTTCCTCATTTGCAAAATGGAAACAATACCTACATCATCAGGTTGCTGCCAGCGTTCAGTGAGTTCACGAACATAAAGTCTGCTGCACAGAGGAAGCCTCATGTGCCTCTTGGCTGAAACGGTTAGCCAGTTTGCTCCCCCACACTGCCGCCTTGTACCCCTCCAATGGCTCCCCATTACTGGTTTGTTCAAGTCCAGACATCTGGTCCAGCCTCACCGAGCACCCCTGGCTGACTGACTGCTGACCTCTCCAGCCCATCTTTCACCATTTTCTTCTCTTTCCACTCACTTCACACCTTCATTCTAGCCCCATAGAATCTGCACCTTCCAGAATATTCTTTCACCCCTTTGCCTTTGAACGTGCTGTTCCTGCTGCTCAGACTGCCCCCACCCCATTTGTTCACCAGCGGGACCCTGCACCCCCTCGCCCTGGGTCAGCACCCGCTTCCGGTCCTCCCCGCCCTGCAGCCCTGATCGCCCTGGAAGGCAGCCCCACTTCTCCCAGACCTGGTTCCACCAGGGCGGGAGCCGCGTCCCAGGCCTCGGGGGCCCCGGTGCTTGGCACAGGGCTCGGCAGGGAAGACACCCCTCGGTGTCTCGGGTGAACCATCGCGGACACGGCCTGCGCTGGGCATCACTAGGGCTCCATTCCAGGCCTGTTGGACTTCGGGCCCGACCCTGTCCTTCCCTGAGCCCGTTTTCCGCCTCCGCGGCCAGCTCCCTCTGGCCTGGCCCCGTTGTGAATGACTGCCCCCATTGGACGGGTGGGGGCAGACGCGGCTGCGCCAGCCTGACAGGCACCCCCTCCCCAGATCATTGCCTTTGATGAGCTCCGGACCGACTTTAAGAACCCCATCGACCAGGGGAACCCAGCGCGGGCAGTAAGTGATACATGTGCTGTGCCGAGGTGTGTCCGTCCGTCTGTCCTTCCATCTGTTTGGGCTGCGGGGGGGGGGGGGGCGGGAAGACGGGGTGTGTGTGCGGAGGGGGAGGACCGGCGGCTTGGCCCCTTCCGTCCGTCCCCGCCCCGGGTGGACGCACCTGGCGCGGGCTCCGGCGCGGGCTCCTGGCGGGGCGGCCGTTGCCAAGCTCTGCGCCGTTGCCGTGGTGATGCGGGTGAAAGTCCCTCCATGGTGACGGTTGCCATGGGGATGGTGTGGCTGCTCTCCTGCCGAGGCTGCTCTGGTGCCCCCCGGCGGCCACACGGGGCGGCGCGGGAGCCCGGAGGGCGGCGGTTCCTCCGGTACCTGCTCCT